TCCTCATGTTTTCAGGGATCTATGACATAGATAGGGTTCTCCTAATTGGATGCTTTTGCCACATGGCCTCAATATTAAATTGCCCCTCTTTTGGTCACCTGTACCATATCCACAGGCTTTGGCAGTCAATGCTTTCAGCCAGGATTGGTCACATAAATACTTTTGTATGTACCCCTCCAATCCGATTGCTTCATTGGGTGATTTTTCTTGTCCACTCTACTCCTTGTTGAGTCCTCCTAATTGCACCCTATTGGCCAGTGCAACCTTGGTTTCCAAGGTTACAACATCTACTCTTATCACCACCTGCCCCTATTCCGCTTTCTCCCTCCCTTCTTCAACCTCGATCCCACATTCTCCATCCCAATCTCCCCATCCTGTGTCTTACTGGCTTTTATCCAGTCCTTGGCAAGACAATCCAGTTTCACACGTTGAGTTGCCTCCTTGTTAGGTAGTTCCTTATGCCCATCTCCCATGGAAATATACTAGTGTAAGTGGAAAGTTTTCCGCTGTTGGTCAGCTAACAGGGTATTTCTGCTGATAAGCCCTTTGTGGCTCGTGTGGCCAAATATATCAACTGCCTTTTCAATCGTGGGTCTTCGGCATCCTTGTTTTCCAGATAATGGGCAGCCCTATCCCATACTTTCCATTTTTCCCATTACCATAGGGTTTTCACTTCCCCTGTTCTTACCGTGCTCATGTGTTCCTTCTGGATTTGGAGGCCTCCAATGTGTCCTGCCCTTTCAGATTGGGACATTAATGTGGTCCTCCATTCCCTCACTTTACCTCCGTTTGAACCACTTTCCTCATGCTCCTTGTTTCATCTGTCCCTTAAAACATGTTTCCTTCTTCTCTTCGCCTGTGGACATCTGCAGTGTCTGATTTGTGTACCATTGACGTTTCACATACCCTTTATCACCTTACCTATCTTCTCCTTTATCCTGATTGTTCCTTTCTCCCAATGACCTTGGCAGCTCAGGAAGTTTGTTCATCCTTTTCTCCTATTTCCCTTCCTTCTATATCCTATCTTTACCCTAGACTGGATCTGGATAGGAATGTTATATAGCAAGTACTGCTACTTTTCAGGGTACATGCAACCTAGTTTTTATCACCTAGCAATCCTCCTTACTTCATGATCTTTCACCTTCTACCCTTTACAAATTTGGTCTGCCTTTTCATTCATTTTGCCTGCTCTTCCCTGCCTTCTTCCTCCCGTACCTTGTTCATTGTTCACAAGCTCACCATCAAATGGGGTGTTCCACAAAATTGCTTGACAGTTAATTACCTCATGATAATTTCCTTCATAAACATGCCCTTTCTGGACCTTACCATCCATGGACTACATGGGTAAAGCAAAAGGGGATTGCTGCCCATCCATGCCATGCCTCGAGTGAATAACTCAATATAGTCTGCTTTTCAAAATAAGGTTTCATGGTCACCCATTACACTGCATTGTCACCCTCCTTTCCTCAAGTGGAGTATGGGAGTCCTTACCACTTCCAGTTCCAAGCTTCTGGGGTGGTTGAACACAGAGGCACTCTCTTGAATGCATTCCTCAAGGTAAAGGTTAGAACCATTCAGTTGAGAGTAGGGCAGTGATATTCTGCTGGTGTAGATGCAATATGGCCTCCGGAGGAGTTGAGCCTTCACCTTGCTAGTTGATGTGGCCTCCTGATCACATTTACACAACAAAACTGGAGTTGAGCCATCACCTTATGGTTGACGTGGCTTCCTGATACCTGTTACACACTCACTTGAGTTGAACCGTCACCTTACGGGATGACATGGCATCCTGTTACACTTTACATAAACATTGGAGTTGAGCTGTCGCAATTGCAGTTCACCCCTTCCATTGGAAGACCTCATCCTACCTTCACACAGAAGTTGGTTTCTAGCATAAAGGTTTTGGATTAGAGTGAACCAATCAACATAAGTCCTTACAAGTTCAGGTTGTCTATCTTCCTCCCCCAATTGCTCTGTCTGTGTATTTGGTCACAGTGGTTGTTCATGGGATTGTTTTGGTACTATCCTTAACTGTTCCTCGTTCTCTCGTTATTGAGATGTTATTGCCTTCGGATGGTGCCAGCCTATGTCACGGTTGGGGGAGTTGATTTCAAGCAATAGACATCCTTTTGATACAAGATGTCAATTCCTGGAGTGATAGATTGATGATGATCCCCATGGCATACCCAGAAATTGGTGCAGGTCTTAATCCCTGATTCTTGAGTTTGAGTTGAAGACAGTATGATCCTCATCCTACTCTTGCGTGGATGTCGGTACCCTGTGAGGTGGTTTTGGGTGTGGTTGACTTACCAAGTATGGTCCGCTGCACCCTAGCCACTTTATACTTTACAATTTCTGTCCTTGTGCATTACACAATCTACACATGGGCGAAGAGTATACCTGGCTCAGACGTGATGCGGTCCCATGTCGGAAGTTACAATTTTACTGAAAATGTATTTCTGATAGGTACTTCCCTCCACCCACACTTCCCATCCTTCCTCCCCACTTCTCCGGTGCTCACACCTTCTGCCTAACTTCAAAATGAAGGTACGGTAGAGAGAGGCACATGCATCACGTGAGCATGTCATGCTACTATTTGTTAAGAGATGATGCATGATGATTTGCATGAGATACGTGTTGGAATATAGTAATTCCAACAAGGGGAGAGTGCAAGGCTTGTGGCATTCATAAAGAAAAAGTTAGCATATAGATGGCAGCACTGAACGAGAATAGCTAATCTTGTGAGGGGAGGTAAGTACCTATTGGAATACATTGTCAGTATAGGAAAATTATAACTTTCACTTTATTATTTTATTAAAGGTACATTGAGTACAAACATGACTTAAATCATCAAATTAATCTCCTGCTAATATTTAGGCTGCTAAAAAGATTTAAAACATTGAACTTGTCATTCAAAAAGGATAATGAATGAACTTTTAAGACAGCATACTTTTCACACTATATTTTCCACCAGCCCTACAAAAAAATATTAAGTCCCTTGAAGGATTAACATATATTTTTATGCTGTAATAAGATGTGTGCATTAAGAGAGAAACTAAATGTAAAATATAGTATTTTTTCATTGTCTTTTGGTTTGTTTTAAATTAAATATATTAGATTATTTACTTCTTTGATTTTCTTTTAAATAAAATAGTAGAAAAGTAAGTTTTTAAAATTTCAAACAAACAATAGCAATTATAATTATAGTATTTTGGCACTGGTGTATAAAGTTAAAATCATAAATAATATTCAATGTTAAACTGGTACACAATTAAAAACATTTTATTTAGGCCTATCTATGAACCATCCATACAATTTACATTTGAAATTGAGAAAAATAATAGTTTGCCTTTTCTAGATGTATTGGTGAAAAGGAATGTACAAGGTAATTTAGAAACATCAGTTAAGTGGAAACCTTTTTCTGTTCTTAGGCCTCCACACCAAGAATCATGTCATACTAAGTCATAAAAAATGTCTGCATTTTATAGTTATGTTAACAGAGCTTTGAAGATATGTACTAACCAAAATGATTTAAAAAACGAATTGTTATTAATTAAATATATATCAGTCAAAAGAGGTTTTAACCCAGATCTTATAGATAGGGTAATTAAAAAATTCACTAATACTATAATAATTGATCAAGTTAGTACTTTAAACCT